GTCAGCAAACTAATTCGAATATCAGACGAAATTTCTACTGTTATGATTTTAGTGAAAAATTTTAATCAAATTAATGATTATATAGAATTAGTAGTGAGAATTCTATTTTGAATAATGATTCCCAATAGAATCAACGGGTGATATGAATATTTCAAAATATATATTTCGCAGAGAATAAATAAAATAGGATTTTAAGCTCTATGCACTTTATTGACAGTATAGATGCTTTTAGGGATATACATTTTAACTTGGAAACGAGTATCACAACAATCATATAGACAACATAACATACCGTTGAGTAGTTGATGAGGCATCTGATTCCAAAACATCCTTATGGATAAAAAGTGCTAGATGAAGTTTATTTTTTAACCTGATTCTTAATTCGTGACTAAAGGGACTCATGAATAAGTTTCTGATGGTGAATCAAGAGTACCATTCTACGACTGATGTTAAAAATTACTAGAGCTTTGATAGGGGTTAAAAAACACTGTACTCAGAATACACCATAAAAATCATAGAGTTAGACTATCAGAGATTATGTGTATGTCTTTAAAGAGAAACGAAGCGTGAGACATATCAGTCAGCTGCAACGTAGGACCAAGCACATATATGCATCGGTCAAAGTTGCCATACCTCATTAGCACAAGATGAACACCAAATTCATAGTAGTTACTTCAATGGTAGCAATATATAAAAGAAAGATTGTGCATAAGGATATAATACAGGAAGAAGGAACTATTTCGCATGAATAAAGGTATAAAGCAATTCTAATCTCACGACTTAAGAGAAGACAAAGAGTATACACACCTAAGCCATTATGATCAATTCTGAGCCATGTCAGCTTTCTATCTTTCGCACTATACCAGGTGAAAACAACTTTTAATAATGCTTCTGTAATTTACCTGACTTTGAGCCAAACTGTTAACGTACGCGTTAGTGATATTACCTAATAATCTAAGCCGATGAAAGTGAAACGGGATTCGAACATACATCTCATTGGTTAAAAGAAGAGTGCTGTGATCATAACGTTAACACTTCACGTATACAACACCCCACGGTATTTGCAGCAGAAGTATGACGCTTGAATATATATAGTAGAATTGAAGTATTCTATGCATACTTTTAGAACTCTATGTTGATCGACTAAACATTACGTTGAAACATTGTTATAATCTCACGTACGATTTTAACTACAAACTCGGTTTATTAGAAACTGTAACTAACTTCGGATTTTAGCAATATCCGTTTCTTCTGAGCTACACTTGGATGGTTTTAAGCCAGCTAGCTAAGAGTCTAAATAAATCATGTACATATTGGAATTAAAATCATCAGTTATCAACATATAGATTTTTCGTATTTATTTTACATTCTACTAAGCTTTTTATCAGACATGAGGCTGAAAGTCATACAAAATATAACATTCTCCGACATTGGTGAAAAAAAAATTAATTACCTTTAACAGAAAACCACTGACATTTTTATTTCTTGAGAAAAAAAAATCATAAGACATGAGCTGATGTCATAATTTCCTTTTAAAATACTACATTTCATCTAGGTCAAAAAGAATCTACAATGATTGGACCCGTTACCTAAACTGCATCTCATTATTATAGGAATGTGTGCAGTAGTTCATGATCAGTTAAAAGCTAATATCTATGATAAATCTTGAAACAAGATAGGAGTTTCAACTTTACATTTATTCTCTTACTAGTTAATCACAGGTAAACTTTATCAACTATATTTGTTATATTTCAAAATAAGGATATCCCCAAAAATGAGTTTAATTTGTGTCTTAACTCATAACCTTACTGAATTACCTGTAGTTTACGACTTAGTTATTTGCATATTCTAGTAGTCTTGTTGGCCATTATTCTGCTATCCCATAACAGATGAAAAATATGACCCACCAAAAATTATCGAACAGCAGTAAACACAAAGAACCACAGAAAAAAACAATTTCTCATTGAAGTAATTTATGACCATGGAAACACATATGAAGAGGTAGTAATAATAATAGTAATTCATGAACAAAAGCCAATAAATACACGTGTTTCTATGAGAATGCGAGAAAAGCTATTTTAGGCAACTTCAAGTGGACATATTCATACTATTTAGAGTGTTAGAAATATTAAATTGAAACAGATCAAACGCTACAAAAAAGAGGGATAAATAAATAATTCAAAAAACCAAATAAACTGTAAATTACGACTTTTCCTAACAATGAATTAGTTAACAAATAAAACTATGATCAGGTTGAAGTAATGTAAATATATAATAGAGTAAACTAGAAATCAACTTTCAGTAAAACAAAAAAGAATTACACACTTTATGGTGATGCCAAAGTTTGAGTTCTGGTACTCACGGTGTAGATAGATGATTAAGAGCTGAAATGAAAAAGAAAAAATAAGTGAAATTCTGTGATAGACATATAGTTTAGAAAGATAACTTATATCTTATAGTGAGTGAAAAAAACACAGTAAGGGGATCATTAAAATGTCGCACAGATTATGTTTAGGATCATTGATGTGTATAAACACGAAAATATGAAAAGAAAACAGCTATTCGTTTAGATTAACACCAGAATTTTAAAACACAACTAAAATACAGTTTGTTTTCTTCAAAGTGAATGTTATATACATTTATTTACCATATATGGGAGAAATTAAACGAGAGGAAATCTAGTAAACATTACAGTTTCGAATCCTATTTGATAAAGTTCTAAGCTGTTCATATGAATCCTTGAAAGAAATACTAAATATTTGCACAGTTAATAAAATCCGTTATTTATGAGAATTAGGGAATTGTGACTCGACATAAGGAGAGAGGACAATCTTGTCATTTATATTCGCTTCTTTTATGTATCATGAAGAGTGTATACAAATGCGTTTTCTCACTTTGTTTAAAGGAATTCAAGAACATTACTCGTCTTGGCTAGAAAGAGGAGGAAACGGCTCAAAAACCGAAAAACCTTGTAAACACAGGTCACTCAATCAAAGCGAACTCTGCGTCCAAAGTCATTTACAAGGTAAGTAGAAGGTTCCCGAGGCAGTTATATAGCATTTTCTGAACATTGCCTAAGCAACAGCTATACATCTAGGGAAGCCATAATTGTGTGTCCGGAAGAAATTTGTACAACCTCTTCTTCTAACATGGTCTTAATGTCTCATGATTTTCATTCTTCTTCATACTTTTCTTCCTTTATAGCCTTCTGTTCCCCGTTCCATCTTCATAGACCTTCTACCCCCCAACTGGTTCATTTCTGTTTCTATGATTCGCCTGATTACATTTCATCTCAATTTTAGCATTTTATCTTATCATGCTCAGCAATCCTTTCCCAACGATAATTTTAATCATCAATGGGAAGATCCAGGTAAACAATACCTAGTGAATTTATTACTACTTTCCCTTATTAAAAAATTGTTTTAATACCTCTGTTTATTCTATCTGACTGTTACTATGTTTAACAGAATTTCATTATCAGTATTATTGTGATTACTATTACCTTGAAAAATACGTATATATATTTGAGATTGTAAAGCTTGGAAAATGAATTCTCATTTAATAGATAATTCCGACGAGAAATATTTATTAATCGTTAATCCTAGGTGAAAGTAACTTTAGTCAAGCGGTAGACTTGGACTTCCACACCGTTTAGCAAATTAATTAGTTTATTATTTTTCAAGTGGATAGTGAATAGAAAACTTTGCTTCGCTAATAGTTATAGATGCTGGTTTATGATTTAAGAATATTTGGAACATTATGGTCAACAGAATAAGGGGACATGTACACAAATACTTTATCAACCAGTAAGTCACAGTTGTGAACCTAATCCAATTTAGATAACTCAGTGGGTAATATCAGTCACCATACAAAAAACTTGGATAATAGTTTTATGAAAAATCCGATATATATATATATATATATATATATATATATATGTATATATATATATATATACTGAGTCAGAACGAATTAATCTTTATAGTTCCTAACAAAAATCAATCTTCTAGCTACATACCATATAAAGCAATAGAAATTAAAACACAAAAATATTCTAAAATTAAAAAAGAAATCGAGACTCAAAAACTAACAAACTATGTTGGTGGATCATCGGGACATTGAAATCCGGCAGCTAAAAGTGCCTCTCGAGCAATTTGACGATTAGCTTTAATGACTGATAATTCATGTTTTATAGTTTCATAATCATCTTGGATATAACTTAAATTTAGGCTAGTCGAATATAGTTCATCCAAGTCATCCGGTTTCGCGAACAATTTGTAATTCTCACATAGTTTTCGCATTTGTCGATATGTATCCTCAACAGCAGTTTGCTTATCTTTGAATTCTGAAAAGAAAAGCATAAGTAGCACTACGGAACAAACTATATGAATAAAACAGGAATAAGAAGTTCCTATAGAATAGATGGGATGTGTTTAGCAGTAGAATCCAAAGTGCGTTTTGTTTTATTCAAGACCCGTCTCTTAGGTATACGTTCAAGCAAGAATATCAACAATCGGGTAGGTAAAACTTCTACACATTAAACTGGAGAATATGAAGTGCTCAAGTAACAAATTTAGTCAAAGTACAGCTATACTGTTATGTTGCTATATACTACAACCTTTAGAAGTACTAAGATTTACATGCCTATATTTCTGTAGTGAGAGTACGAAGTTGAACATACAAGTAGCTGTAGTCAAGTCATCTAAAATTAAACCCGTTAACATCGCTAGAAGTGCTACAAATTTGTTTACACCAAATTTGAAACTTTATATCAACATGAAAAAAATTCAACAAGACGGAAAATATTAAAATAAAGTAACGACTTGGATAGCGATTGATTAAGAAGACGAGTGAAGGACATAACAACATTCTTGAGAGATCAGCACCCCGACCATCGTATTTAGTGGTGAGGAAATCCTAGTCCCAGATAATTAGAGATGAAATACCCAGTGTATGAATAGAACTTGATGATATGTGAAATTAAAAAACAAGTGTTGTTTAGCTTCTAATCAATCATATTTTAAAAAAAATAAGTTTATTACGCTCGAAACGTGACAAATGAATGGAAATTATTTTTAAATTAGTAATACAAAAATCAATAAACTCATTCAGTTATCATCAACACAGGACTTGGTACAAATGTGTATCGGAAACCATCAATCTACAAATACATTAGTGTAAGTCAGTGAGAATGCAACGGTATAAGTAAACTTACGAAATTTTTCGAATAAAGCTTACCTGGTATATCGGGATCCATCATTGGTAAAAACCCATGACAAGATAAATTACAAGTAAATAAGTTACAACTGAAATTGAAGGAAAATTGAACTGTACAAATTAAAGTTATGCAAGTAAAGCTTTTTGTATAGAGAAATCAAAAAAATAAATATTAGTTCAAATAATAAATGTTTATCAGGTTACCAAAATGCCAAAATAAAAACATTGTCAAATTACACTTTGTGAAATAAATTCAAAAATGGTCATAATTAATGCATTATGCTTTTGAAGTGCACCTTGTTATAAGTGAGCGGATTATATATGGATATAGATAATCAGATGATTAAATGCTATTAATTTTTCAGAAACATAATCACTAGGGCTGAGAAATGCAAGCTGACAAAATGTAAATAAATAGCTAAAAGCCGAATGGAGAGCCTTTTCTGAACAATGCGAAGTCTTTGCAAAAAAGCCAGTGACAATTAGCATTTGAAACATAAGGGATAAGTATTATAATGATTAACTAATAATGAACATAATGTTATATTAGCCATTTGATTCTGAGAAGAAGAATTGATGTCGAAGTAACAACAAACTAGAAAGACTAGAACTCGACTAAAGCGGACTGAAAAATTATTGGTTTGGGTTTCCGGAGGAAAAAGGTTGATCATCAGATGTACGTCTTAATCCTAAATTAACAGTTTTATTGAATGGACCAGTAGAGATTTGTTGTAGTGGCCGAAAACCAAAATGACTGCGAGGTTCTGCCGAAGACATGTACACGTTTCCGGTGGCATTCACCGCAAGAGGATATAATGATGGATGTGTTGAAACCGAAATTTTCTGAGATTGTCTAGATTCATCCCCCATTTCTGGAACAATATTTGTGAGCAAAGGCTTTTGAGGCAAAATTTTGTAAGGGTTTTGTTTTATGTTCGCTACATTAGAAGCGTGAGCAGGAATGTTGGACAGTACGTCTTTTCTAGTAGGACTATGAGACGAATGATTAACAAGATGAGTATCTTGTGTTGGTTGCTGGTTTGTAATTTGCCCTTCAAACTCTTGAGAAAACGACAGAGACTGTTTTACATAGAAATGGTCATGATTTTGCTGAGGTTGGTTTAGCTTTGTTGTGCTTGAGTGAGGGCTTTCTGGAGCACTAGCGATGTTTGTGTAGCTCCCATGTGGGCTATTCCTACACAAAGAAGCAAGAGAATGCTGACTACCATGTTTTCCGGCAGCAGCTGCTGCCGCCGCTAGAGCTGCAACCTCTGCTTTTAATGTGTCTTCTTGTCTTCTAGCAATTTCCTGTACATTGGTGTTTGCAGACGTAGTTTCTAGCTCATCACATGACCCAGTCTTGTTAGGCGGTTTGAAAGAAAAGTTCGTTCCAGTAGAGTTAGACAAGTATGAATTAGGATTATGAGAACCATTTTTTACTGATTTACTTGCACTGCACTGAGGTGGTAAACTTATTCTTGGTTTGTGAGAACGTGTGAAAGTGTTCATGTTAACATGCTCACTGTTCATTGTAGGATTAGTTACTGTCTGTTGACTAGGAAACGAAATACTGTCTGATGAACTAGCGGTTACCAGACGATTGGATACGACAGATCCATAAACAGAATGTTCTGTACGACATGTATTCGGACGCGGTGGATATCCTGAAGTGATAAGATTCAGAGATGGGACACTGCCTCCAAACTGATATGCTTCAGTTTGTCCCCCAGACAAAATGATCGCTTCGAGGCGGGAGAGGAGATTTCGACGCGAATGGAAAAAGCAGGAATCTGGCGAATCAAATATACCACGTAACCATGTTCTTATGGGTTCAACAGCACCTTGAGTTTGGTGCTGCTTCGGTGGTTTGAACAACCAACACTCATCAGCAGGAATCCCATAATTCGCTTTCAAAACATCGGTTTCTTCAGTTGAGCCGTTTGTATATATTGGGTTCATTGGTAATTGAGCTAATTCAACAGACGATAAACTATTGGAATCACCTAAACGGTTCTCATTACTTTTCACAAAATTCATATCATTTGAATGACCAAAGCCAGAGGTTAGGTTATTAGAGTTGTTAGGGTTAATTGCATTCATGGTACCTGATAATTACAAAATGGAAAGTCATATTTAAACTGCGTTATGTACAACAGAGAAAAGTCTGGAAAATAACTTTCAAATTAAGCTACTGAATATCATATGATGCGATTATATTTATTTATTTTAACACATAGATATTGGTACAAGGAGGCACCAAATACATATGCGCCACACAAATCTCATTCGATATGTGCGAGGGCTGTGATACTGCCCGGGTGCCCAAACCGAAGCAGGTATGATGAGATTAGTATGGAAGGAAAATAAAGCCTGAAATCCCGGAGTGAACACCGACTCTGTGGTGCAGATATCTCCGACTAAGTCCCAAATAGAACGAAACGCACATTCAAGATTACGTTGCCAGCCACATTCCATCAATCACGTGTGTTTATTTGGTGGTTTGAAGTCATATTCGTTTTAATCGAATTCTACCACTTCTAATAAGTAATCAAATAACACCACAGAATGAAATAAAAACAGAACTGAACTATGCAGACAAAATAAAGTTATGATATACAGGACTACCCATTGAACTGAGCCAATTAATATGCTAAACGCTAATTATACTACTCGATTTCTTAAACTCGTGGAGTCAAAGGGACATAAATCAATGGTTGGTCTAGTTATACTAGTTAAGGGCATGTTTGTTTGTACAATTTAATACGGATAGTTTCATTAATAAATAAAAATAAAACCAGTGAATAAATAATGGACAAAATCTAACAACATTATAAGTTATTATAAGTATACGGATGTTAAATATAGCATTGGGGTTGTATGTTTAGATAGTTTGTTAATTTTTGAAATTGAGACCACAAAACAACAATTACATGCTCCTTGAAGTATGGAGGTTATGCGAACCTCCAGAGACCTGTCATATTTAGAAGGGAAAAGCGATCAATGTAGTCCACAACAGACCGAGCACAAATAACATTCATGTATATAAACAACCCGACAGTTATTGCTACCTTGATGTGGTGGTCAAGCTAGCCTATCGTGATCAGCCAATCGAGCTCCACAGACTGGAACAATCATTCCTCAAGGTCCTACCATGCCATACAGGTCGGCTGAAGAACGGCAAGACTAAAAGCAGCAAACACAAGGTCTCAAGGAGATGTTGTACTGCTAACTGTACAGATAAGTCTATAACTTATTTTCGAACCGAACCAAAGCCCAGAAACAAAATAATTGACAGAACCAAGTAAACCGAAAGCTTCATATTTTAGCAACGAACAGTGAACATAGAATTTGCAATGAATACTGAATTACGACACTTTACAATATATTAACATAAGTTTTCGTGAAAAAATCATATCCACAGTAAAAATTTAGTTCGAAAAAAATGTCAGACACCTATTTTCCAGAAATTGAAGCCTCACCGCTAACAAAACGAAGAGCTTTATTAAAATTACACTGGGACTACCAATTGTCTCAATTGGTAGCTTTAAGCTAACTGGCAGTTTAAGTTAGCTTAAACTGCCAATCCTGTGGATTTTTTGACTCGACATCCTGAAAGGTCTCAGTCCTATGGAAATTTTGAGCGAACTTAAGAGAATTTTCAGAATAATTGGCATTTTCGAGAAAACCGAAATTTACAGTCCAACCATCGATGAATTTTCGAACTATACGTGACAGTTCGATTTTAAGAAACGTTTTTGAGACTTCAGTAAGTGAAATAATGTCCTCCTTCTTGATAAACGCAATGTATTAGGGCAATATAATGTATACAAACATCTTATTATTACATATAGTCGTAAACAAACAATACATACGCCTAGGTCTCAAACAAGTGCGTAGTGCGTACAATGTTCAATACATGTCGTCTTCAATTACAAAGATTGAAGGTCGGATGAACTGTGCTAATCCGTGGCACTTGTTTTCCTGTAGTGCTTCAGATTATCCACAAAATTATTTACTAGTGAGGCTGATACTACTTATTTGCGTAGGTTGTTCTAGACACTGACCCATCGATGCGAGAAACTGGATCTTAATCTGAGCTCATTTTATTCCAGTCTATGAGCTTTCCTTCAGTGGCCTCGGAGATAAGTGGTTCCGAAGAAGAGAAAAAACGGACATTTCAACATTTAACTCATTATTTAAGATACGGGGTTCCAATATACGATCACCTCAAGTTCTACGGTGAGGGGTAATGATTTAAATGTCTTAGTCGCCCATTCAGTTTCACTTTGGAAAGAACAGGGGACTTGATGGCCTGTGTTAGTCCTGGCAATGGTGGTCTTTCAGTTGATCCAACTTTCTTTTGAAAGAGTCGACGGATGGAGCCTCAACCACGTGCTGAGCTAATGAAGTCCACGCGTTGATGATTCGATGGGAAAGTCGATAGTCAGCTGACAAGTAATTTGTTCCGTGCTTGTGAACTTTTTGGAGTGTTCTCGTAAATTCTCCCTCCTGGAAGACAAGAAAAAATGAGGGCATATCAGGTGCAAATTTATCACTAAGCAATTGGAAAACTGTAACCAAGTCACCTCTAGTTCTACGATATGACAACGGGAAAAGGTTTGGCTTTGTCAGTCGAGCATCGTACGGAAGCCTCCCTATTCCGGGAACCAGCTTAGTTACTGTTATCTGGACCTTTTCTAGAAGCTCACTGTCTTTTTTTAAGCAGGGGTTAGCCGCTTGTATGCAGTACTCAAGTTTAGGACGTACGAACACTGTGTATAAAGTCAAGAATGTTTTGGCGTCGACATGACTAAAAGCTCTACGTATTGACCATAACGTTTTAAAACCTTTGGCGGCTACTGCACGGCAGTTTGCAGTAGTCTTTAAGTCTTGGCTAACGATGACTCCTAAGTCATTATGTATCTGGACAACAGGTAGCTCAGTGTTATTCATCGTGTATGTATCTGTGCCTTGATGACCGATATGCATCACAACACACTTGGAAGTATTTATCGGCAACTGCCAGGTTTGAGACCATTCAGATAATTTCTTCAAGTCATTTTGAAGTTCTAAGCTATCACCCTTACATCGTATCGTTTTCCATATCTTGACATCGTCAGCATATAGCAAGACCGATGATAGGAGACGAAGGAGGTCATTTACATACATGAGGAATAGCACTAGCCCCAAAAGTGTACCCTGGGGCACTCCACTAACGACAGTTTCCCAGCTGGACAACTTTGAGTTCACCCATACTCTTTGTTGGCGCCCAACTAGGAAGTCTTTTATCTACATCAACAGATTGCCTCCATCCCCGATATTTCTTAGCTTATATAACAGCCGGTTGTGCAGGGCTTTGTTGAAAGCCTTGCTGAAATCAATGTGTGTTACGTTTACAGGTAACGTTTTGGCCTTAATAGAGCATCAGCCTTCACGAGCGACTAATAAGTTAGTGAGACAAGAATAACCTATTCTGAAACCGTGCTGCTTCTCCGAAAGGATCCGGTTTTTATCGAGATACTTAAACAGCTCCTTCCGAATAATCTTCTCTAAGATTTTATCGATCACACTAGTTAGGCTAACGGGTCGTTAATTCTCAGGTTTATGTTTCGTACCTGTTTTGAAAACAGAACTTACTATGGCATTCTTCCAATCTTTTGGTAAACGACCCTGCGTTACGGATAGATTAAAGCATATATTTAAAGGTTTCGCAACGAAGTTAGATAATTCCTTCAGTAGCCTGGGATGCAATTCATTGGGCCCCGTAGATTTACCTGTGTCAGGCTTATTTAACAGACCAAAGACATCGAGTTCTTTAATGGTCACGCTACCCAGTGTATGTGTGGGGGGATTTGTATGCGCTGACGGAACGGGTGCTTCTATGGCGTACACATTGCTAAAGTAGTTCGAGAACACTTAAGCCTTACCGAAATCATCCTCCACTAATGATGCGGCAGTACTGGCTCCCCATAATGCAGGAATGTTTCCTCTTCTTTTTGTCCTTTGGTTTATATAGGAATACAAGCGTTTAGGACATTCTATGGATTCCTTAACAATCTTTTCTTCGTACAACTTTCTAGACTTACGGAGGGTCGAGGTACAGGTATTCCGAGCTTTTCAATGCTGAGATTTTGTCTCATCAGTCTCTAGTAGCCCACATTTTTCGTCTCTTATGGAGAAGGATGCGGACCTACCTACTGAACCATGGTGGGGAGTTTCTCGACCCCCTTGGTATAGTCCAAGGAATGTGGGTTGCGGTAACATTTAAGTATACATTTCGAAGTGCGTCCCAAGCCGTTTCAATTGAGGATCCTGGGTCTACTGTCCAATCTACTGACGATGCTTAGTGCATGATATCTGGTATGTTTGCTTTCCAGACATTAGGTTTGGATTGAGCTTGCGCGTGCTCGTGATTGACAGTTATATGGAAGTCGAAAGTTAAAACTGCGTGATCACTTTTTACCTAAGAGTGGCGTGTAATGGAGGTTCGCAACGTCATCCACATAGTGAGTGAGTATCAAATCTAGTAAGGATGATTCAGTGTCCAGGTCGTACCTAGTCGCTTCTTTCACACGTTGTACTAAGGCACATGTGATAACCGCATCAACTAGTTCCTGCTCGAAGGAATTATCTGACGATTCAGTCTACCATAAGTGCGTTAAAGTCCCCTAGGATTAGACATCGACCGCTTTGTGACCAAATATTGAGACTGCTTAGTAGGACCTCAGTTATCTCACAGCTTGGACTGCGATAGACCAAACGAATCAGCAGCAGTGCCTTCGGCATCATTCTCTGTCGAAGCCTTACAACCCGAAAATTTACAATTTTTATGTCCTTTTCGTCAGTGTCCAACCTAAGTTGCAGCTTTTTTCCGGCTTCCTGTCTTTTTTACGCGGTCTGCCAACGGCAATTCCTTACGGATTAAAACCCCTGAACCCCTTGATTTATGTCTATTCTGTAAAATTAAGTCGCGTTCATTTGACGATTTGAATACTACTTTGAGCAGTCTGGATTGATTAGGCTTCAAGTTCGCTAGACTACCTAGTTTGTACACCTTCAGCAAGGTTACTCCGGGGATATTTTGAGGCATGAGTTGATCAAGTAG